ATATAATGTATATATATATATATAATATATATAATATATATATTATATATATATATTATATTATATATATATATATATTATATATATATATGGCTTGCACCTGGAAACGACACGGCAACATCGGATGCCTTTGTTTCGAGCCTTTAGTGGCTAATCAATAAAAACACGTTTTCGCCGTTCATCTTTTGTCCACGTAGCTGACCAACGGTGACACCGCACATGTCACTCGAAACGAAGATCACTGTTACCAAGATATTCGGAGCTATCCAATTGCTATGGTTGGTTGTCAGTGTGGTGTACCCGCTTCCGACTTATTTGGCTTTGTGGTTTCCGACATTCGCCGAGGCTCTTCAGGTGACCTGCAACTACATCCTCGCGCGTCCGAGAAAAGCAGATGTATGTACGCGCGTGCTCTTGCTGGCCCGTACTTTCAGGCCTGCTTCGTGCAAGTCCAATCTAGTTCATCCACGAAGCCTTTGCATTCTTCAGACACCTTAGTCTGGCGTATGGAACTAATCAAGATTTTCACTGATTGTCTGTCGTTCTAAAATCAAAAAACTCAAAAAACCAGGAAAACTTCCCGGACAGAAGCCAGACCACTGCAACTGCACCAGCAGCATGGCAGACAGCAGTTGCTCCGCCATCGCTCGACCCTCGGCCGTAGCATGCAGCTTCTGCGGAACGGGTGTCGTAACACGCAGTCCCAGAGCCTTGGCTTCGCGGCACATGCTCAGGAGCGGTGTTGTTGCAGTCGCGGTACGGGCACGACCATGGACAGGCTGACTTGGCCTGCATGGATCAGATCGCAGCTCAACAAGAAAGCTTGCGTCCTGTGTACAGGCGCCGCTCAGCTGTCTCCAGCCTGCAGAACCTGGCTCCTCCTGCAGGAGGAGGCTGTTGCCCTGCAGCAGCGCCTGGACTCCTGCGGATGTCTCACAGCTCTGTCTCTGCTTTCGAAAAACTGTCGGCACATGAGGAGACATTAGCGGCTCACCGGCTCACCACCCTCCCTTCAATTGCTGAGAACAGAGCACAAGTACAGAACAGTTGAGTGCCCATCTGTGGGAATGGCAAGTTATTTCGCATCGTGCAGGCACTTAGCACTCATCAGTTTCATCAGCATGTTCAGACATGTTCAGACGGCGGGTCAGAGGGCCGGTCGAGCAGACTATGCGAACCGCTTGTAGGTGCTATTGTTTGACGCGCTCCGCCTGTACACCCTGAGGCAGAAATCCCAGCTGTCCGTCGCGAAGATCCGCAGGATGAATGTCTCCCGACTTCATCCGCCGCCAGAAGTCCACAGCACTGGGCTCGGCAGAAGGGCTCTCAGCCTGGGGGTGACAAAGCCGGACAGCCCAGAGTCTTCGAAAAACGCTTCCTGGGTCAAAGCCCTGAGGCTCAAACGTTAGAGGCTGGCTGGGCCTCCGCCTCCTTCTCCGGCGGCGTGGCGATCGGAGTCACGGGCCTTTTGAGGTTTGCAGGCTGAGATCTTCGGGCTCCGGCAGAGCGGCTCCAGGGTTTCAACGTCGTTGTGCTTCAGACTTTTGAGGGCGGGACTGTAGCACCGGGCATGTGTCCGGCGTCGTACGGCCGACGCGGCCGGGAGGCTGCTGCAATGCCTCGTCGTCTCTCGAGGCCCGCCTCAGTCTTGCGGGCGCAGATTCTGGATTGCGGGCCCGGGTTTGGCTCGTGCAGCTTCCGCCAGCCTCCTGCGTTTCGCAGAAGTCTGGACCGGCCGTGAGGAGGCAGAGGCAGAGGAGTCCGAGTCTTCCGAGGCGGAGGAACTCCGAGGTTTCCTTGGCTGGGACCCAGCTTTCCAAATGGGCGCCATGGCCTTCCTATGCCTGCGAGACACTTCTTCTCGGGATCCAGCTTCTGGGCCAGGGCTTCGATCCTTCAGGACAGCGGCTTGTCTTGAAAAGCATGAAACCGTCGACCGGAAAGTCTCATCACTCCTCCGCTGCAGAATGTCGTTCTCTTCGTCGGCCTTCCTCGCGCAGGCCCCGTTCAGACACCCCGGGTCCGGGTCTGCAAAACGGGCCTGGAATGTGCCAACCCGGGGGCTGTAAGCTTCGGACTCAGGGCTTTGAGTCCCGGAATTTTCTTGGCGCTGGGAGCTCTGTGTACAGGCGTGAACGGGGCCGGGGCAAGGCAAGACAGAACGGAGCAGAACGAAGGACGCTGACATAACATCGCTTGGCCTGCCGAATATGCAGCAAAGCTCTCGCTCCTTTCTCTCTCTCTCTCTCTCTCTCTCTCTCTCTCTCTCTCTCTCTCGCTCGCTCTCTCTCTTCCACGCCTCCTCCTCTCCTCTTCGGGATCGAGAGCAACGAGCGCTTGCGACGAGGCCGCTGCGGCCTCTGGCAGTGATCCGCTGTGCCCAGCGGCCGGCCCAGCGGGCGGCGCAGCGGCCTCCATCGGCTCCACCGGCGCCACGGCTTCAGCACGGCCACTCGGCGTGACCAACTCGAGAGCTGAGGCCACTGAACTCAAGTCCCGTTTTGAACCCCCTTTGTCTCCAACTGAAAGCCTGTCATAGGGCAGGCTGGGCTTTGGCCTCTCTGACTGTGTCTGGAGCTGAGCTCATGTATGCTTTTCATGTCATCTCCTACTGCCAGGCTCATTCTATGAGCCAGCACCGCTCGACAACAGGCCGCTTGAGACCCAAAGCACATTCTGCGTAGACCACCGCCGGCCGTCTGGAAGCTATAGGGGTAGGATCTTTTGGAGATTCCGGAGCTCGAAGGCAGAAGGCCCCAAAGTGGCCCAGCAGGGAGAGCATCTAGAGCATCTAAAGGCGAACATCTCGGCTCCTGCGAAACGGTGCCGTCGACCTCCGACTCATCGGAGGAGTCCGCTCGGCGGAAGCCCTGAGAAGCATCACGAACGTTCCTGAACAAACCAAATCGAATCCTCAAAGCCTCAAACTGCCCAAACACAAATCCAAGACGGCCAGGTCAAAAAGCCACCCACACACGGCATGTAGCGGTTTGTCGAATCCTCAGGCCGGCCCCTGCGCTGAAGGTCTGTGACAGGTCCCTGTTGTTGCTGGCCTCCTGGTCCTTGCGATAAGACAGCAACCCGACGGTGGAGATGGCGCATAACGCGAGAAACACGCCTCCACGAGCGCGAGATTGCGGCATGCTTTCGAAGACGTTTCTTGGGCGGTGTACTGTAAGGAGAAAAACAGGAAGGAGTGCGAACAGGCCAAAAAAAATCGCGATCTCACACCCAGCTTTGGCATGTCTTCGGGGAAACAACTCAGTTCAGGACTTCACGTTGAAGTTTATCTGTTCTTGGGCTGAGGCTTCAAGGCTGCCACCAGGGTGAACTCAGAAACGTGTGGAGGGCTTGAGGCTTCATGGACATGGCACTCGCAGCACAGCCGATGGAACGTGAATTCGTGCTCCGAATCGCTTCAGCTCGCTTGTGCGCTCACAGAGCTCAGGCCCTACATCGGATTGCTTTCGGTAGGGAGCCCCTCTGCATTGCTTACTATTGGGAATAGGCTGCTGATTCATGGCCAGGGTTCAAATCCCATCCTGAAACTCTACGGCTGGTCAACCCAGAGCCCTGAATACGTCCGAAATAATTGAACCCCCGGAAGCTCCTCAGATTCAATCCCGGGAATCAACCGAATGCTGTGAACCATCGAGCAGAAAACCTGCAGGCCGCGCCTGGCACCAGGAACTTCAAGTCGCTCTTGGGATCCTGCGACACCCGGCACTGAATCGCTTGAGGCCTGCCCGGCATGCCTGCATACATGCGTACATCTGTGCATGCTTGCGTGCACACAGCATCCCCGAAACAAGTCTTGAATCACCAACACAGTCTTGCAACCGCCTTGAATCCTTCAACACCCAGCCGCCCAGCAACCTGCTACGCCCAGCCTGCACGTAGGCCACCACAGCCCCGGTGACCATCCCGAGGCCGACACAGAGGGGGAAGCCAATGGCGTTGCCCATCATCCCGATGCCTGCAAGTCTGCAAGCTTCGGAGGCCTGAGGCTTCGAAAAGCTTTAGGAACTCCATGAATCCATGAAGTCTCCCCCACACAACACATGCTGAGATTCCACATGAGGCCCGTCCACGCCTTTGCACAGCAGGATGTTGGCCAAGTTCCAAACCTAAGGTGGCGCAGCGTCTGTGCAGGAGCTGTTTTGGCTTGTTTGGTTGAGTGTTTAAACAGCACTCCACGAAGCAGCAAGAAGCTGCGGCGAAATCTTGTGTGAACCCAGAACACGCACCTGACGTGAAAAATATAAGTCATGCGGCGCTGCTAAACCGTGTGCTGCCGAGGTTCTATACCGCCGAACATTCCCCAAAGATAGCCTTGGCACGTCGCCCCAAGCTCGCAAGCCCCGTCTTCCTGCCCCAAACTGCAAGCAACTTTTCCAAGCATGGTTCAGGGTCTTGGACGCTTTCTACCGCGACGGGGAAGGATCCTGACATCGCTCCGACACCAAAGCCGCAAGAAACTCTTTCCATTCCGTCGTCGGCCATCCCCTTGAACACAGGCGCAACTGAACGAGCCTTTTTCCAAGGTTGTCCTCAGACCCTCGAATCCTCAAAGCGCTTGAAAGCCAGCAAACCTGTCTACCGAACTCGCAGGCCCCGACTCAGCTCCTGTACGATGCGAAGTGGGCTGAAGTCCCCTACCCAAGCCGTATTCCACGGACATCCGGCATAAGCTGACAGATGCATGCTTACAGGTCATGCCAGGCTGCATTCCGTCGTGTGTCCAACACCTGGGGCTTGTGGTCAACGAAACAAGAAGCTCGCAGCTTTCACATTGGCATTCTTGGAGGGGGCATCATGACCCCTTTGCAATTGGGGGAGTGCGACCATGGTGGAGCATCCTATGAGATTCTGCATAACGATAGGAGATTTTGGCTTCATAGGGTTCCGGCCATCTAATGGCCAATCCTTATAGTAACCTTCGTGCCGGTAAAGCACCGGAAATTTCCTCCAAGTAGGGCGTCGTGAAATCCTCGGCCAGGCCGGAGACACATCCCAGACCCGAAGCCTAACAAACAATTTTCTGAGCAGCTTAGCTTAAGCATGTAAGAGTTTTCGAAATCCGCTTGGATGAACTACAATCCGTAGATGAAGTCGAAACGGGCAAGTGCACTTGCAGCAAGCATGAAAAACTAACACAATACATCCGGGCTGCTGTCCAGTGCTCTTAAATGGCGGGGACGTGTTCCTGACTATGACAAGACGATGGGCAGCAAGTTCAAGACAGAATGGTAGCATATCCCGTCGCTGTCGGATTACGGAAAGGGCGGCAGTGCCGAAGGGACTGGAGCCCGTTGAAGATTCGGACTGCTGAAAGCAGAGTTGTGGACTTGGGCTGCAAGGCCGCAAGATGGTTCCGCGCTTCGCGATCCAGCCTCGATACTTTGCATGTCCATCCAACGATTGGCAACACTTTGTCGTCGGTTGGAAAAGCGATTCGCCCAAGTAGCAGCAGAAGCAAAGTTGCACTGACAAGAATGTACGCATAAAGGGCCGACAATAGCTGCACTAGCGTGCTGCAGCCGTTTTTTGTCCCTACACGGTACACTTGTTGGAGACGACCGCCATCTGACATGACAACCATAACAAACAATGGATATCCGAGCCCGGTTCACACGACTTGTACAATGCAGCCGTCTGTCGGACATGTTGCAAGATGTTGCAAGCAACACAACTGCTTTCAGCGAGAGGGTGTTCTCCAAAGACCACAAGGGCTGCTGCACCATTATCCTGAAGTCAACCTCCTGCGCGAAACCACCTTGGAATTCATTTTGCTGGGTCCGGAGATGGTGGAAATGGAAACCACGCGGGCATCCTGCCGGACCTCCGGAGCCTCAGCATCCCACAGGAACGGAGGTCGCGGACAACATCTGGAGTCATGAGGCCAAGTTCCACGAGCTCAGTTCCGCCGGACCCTGAGTTCCTGTCAATCTCACGTCCTGCCGCGCAGATCTACGAAGGCTCCCGCAGCAGCGCTCTGCCGGTCGAAGCGGTCAGGGGTTCCCACAGCGATTCCCCCTTTCCCAATCCCCTCCGCAGACCGACTCTGTCAGCGGGTTTTGGGCTTGCCGGGGAGCACCCCCCCGCAAATTTGGGTGCCCACCGAAACTCCCACCCCCCCAATCCTCCTTCCTTCACATCTTTTGCCTTCTCCTGAACTTGATGCCTGAGCCTTGGAATTCTGGGGCTGTGTGGGCTGTGTTTTGTACCTCACCTGCGTGACCTACCCTGCTTCGAGTACTGCCGGGCCGAGGCGGACGACACGAAGCGTTTAAAATGAGTTCAGCGCAGCAGAGCCCGAAGACTGCAAACCCAGCATCCAAAAGCCTGCAGCCAGCAAAGCCAACTGCCTTCAAACCTTGGAGAGCTATGCGATTTCTAAGCCAGCGCTGAGGTTCGTAGCGCTCTCCACCGGATCCAAAACTGCCCCCAATGAAGCCGACAACGAAGCCGGTGATTAGAAAGGACAGCGTGAAGTTGACGTAGTACAGCCTCAAGATTCAGCCAAGGTTTCTGGTGGTGTGCAGATAGCGAAGGAGACGATCTCGACTCTCGAAGCGGGCGTTCCGGCCCTTTCTTCCATCTAATCCTGAACCTTGGGGGCCTCTCACTGAAGCTCAAGGGAGTTGGCGAGGGGCTGGAAGGCCATGACCTGTCAGGGACTCCGTGCACGACATCCAAAACAGCAAGCCTGCAGACCTGGGGCTGTTGTGAGCGCTTTTCGAATGGAATGTCTGACACCGTCAGCAACTGCCAGGAGCGAGTTCAACCATGCGGGCCACTCCATCAGCATCCGATGAGCATATCCACACCTTGCCCGCAGCCTTCGCTTCTCGAACGCTTCAGAAAGCACCAAAGCCCAAGCTTCGGCCCTGGAGCGCCTTGGAGGCAAGGACCAGGGTGACGCTCCAGCTGCCCCAGCATATCAGGGCCCCGAGGGCCATCACAAGGCCCAACGAGTAGCTGGTAGGCACCTCTTCTGCTGTGGGCTGGTACCTTTGCCTCTGAGTTCCAGGACCTCTTCTCCTTCGTGTTTCAGAGTGTCGGGGTACAGGCGAGGGCAGCTGTTGAGCTCAGGGCGTTTTTTCTGTATCCCCCCTTTTCCCCGCCATGCTAGTGTTGGTTTGAAGGCGGATACTGTACTTCTTCGACTTCAGTGTCGGGACGGACGTTGCGGCCAGGATCAACGGAAGACCAACAAGCAAGAACTACGTATGTGCTTTGGCAAATTTGGGGCTTTCAGTGGATCATGCCAAAAAATAACCGGCTCGGAAGATTCGAGATGTTGCCGAGCGCTGATCATAGAAAAATCTTGAGTCCAAACAAGCTCTGGGAATTGAGCCTACGCCCGAGCACGAGACTGGTAGTGAACTGCAACATCGCAGTGCTCGACGGGACATGGGAAAGCTATCTCACTTGTAGAATACTGAGCGGACACCTTCCATGTCTGCGTATGAGCCGAGTTCGTCTGAAGCCCCCGGGCCCAGCCCCGGGCCAAGCCCCGGGAACATTCCGACATCCCTCCTAAACTCCAGATCTTCCATGATCTTCCGGGGCACGAACATGGCAACAGCTCTCGCGGCAGAGGATGTTCTACGAAGCCGGGCTTCGGGTTCTGTCGTGAAGGGGTTCTCGGGTTAGGGCTTTGGAGCGGCTGCTGGTGGTGTTCATCGTGATTTGGAGTTGGCAAAAGGCAGGGTATCAACTTCTACCTTGTTGAAACTCCTGCATGGTTTGATACAGTGCTACGGGCTTGCTGCATCGGACTTAAAGCCGCACTGACCCTGCAGCCTTACAAGGCCGGTGCGTGAGATCGACAAAGCTTGCTCAATAGTCGGCACTCACACTGCAGCCATCATGTGGAAAAAACGGCATCCAACATACCAGGCTTGAATCCGAGAAGCACCCGTCGAGCTATTCCATGCTGAAGGTCTCTGGGGTGTGCAGCCAAGCATCATTTCTGGGATCCACACTGTTTAAGGCTTGCCGATATCTGGGCTCGTGGCCCACTTTGCCGTGCGCGGGCGCGGGGGCTGCGTGGCGTTGCCTCGCCTCCACAAAGCAGGAACTTCAGGTCCGAGCAGCCCCCCCTAAACTCCCTAAACCCTGCTGGAAAATCTCGGGTCCGAAGGATTTGAAGGGTTCAAAAGGGAAATGAAAGCCATCTTTGCCCCGCCACAGTGGCGGCACCTCAAGGCTCAGCGTGGTCAGCTAGCTAGCCCGAGGCACCCAGCTTTCTGCTTCAAACTTAAGTCAGATTAGTCAAGCCCGTAGAATTTCTTTACCTTGGATCCGTAAACAACTTGCGAGAACGCTGAGCGCCAAGTGGCTACGTAGTGCTGCATTGTTGGATGCTAACTCCCATCGCAGGCACTCCGTCTAAAATAAAACATGTGGAACAGGAACCCTGACCCAAGAGCTTGGCAGTCCTAGCCCTAGCCACAAACTGCAACTGCATGGTCATAATCCGCTCTACGGCATCCCCCGGCCGGCTGCCAAGAGGCCCTGACACACTCAGCCCCCGCAAACTTCCGGCTCGAAGGCAGAAAGCCCAAAACATGAACCTGGACCCAGAACTGCGAGACCCTAGGCCGACAGGCCGAGGCCCTGGCTCGGCTCTGCCCGCGTGCCCGGCAGAACGCGCTCTCGCAGGGCTCGAGCATCGGGGCCTCTGCCCTGGCGCTTTGAGCGACTTCCAGAAACACCTCCTGCAGGAAAAGGGGGAACCCCCAAGATAAAGGAGGAAACTTGCGTGCGACAGCTCGGCCAGCACCAGAAAAAGGGCAGAATGGGCAAAAGTCTGAAAAAGCGGGATGCAGCAACAGCGGCAGGAGCAGCAGCTGTAGAGGTGGCGACAGCATTGACGGCAGGAGCAACCGCTGCAATACTCGGAACAGCAGATACCGCGCCTCTTGCAAAGCAACTTCGGGCAGGTTTGGATCCACCACCCGCGCCTGGAAAAGGCTCAACACTACTAACTACTGCAGTAGCTGTGTCGAACTACGAACCTCTTTCTGTGTGCTCCGACTCCGCCACGACGATGGCGGCGACGACGACGACGCTGTTATATGACTTCACACTGCCGCAGCAGTAGAAGTATTGCTGCGTGTTGCCTTCTTCTGTGTTGGAGTCTGCAGTCTACAATTGTCGCTACAAGTGCTATTGATTTGTATACTCATTCAACGAGTGGCGACAATGTTCGCCTGGTTGAAATTGCGACACTACCTATACCGGTGGTGGTCAAGCGTGAAGGCTCTGCTAAGGCTCCCAACTTCCACCAAGGGCACCGACGAAGCCACA